AATCCCGGAATGCCCGGGGGCGGGAATCCCGGAATTCCCAGTGGCAGAATTCCCGGAATTCCCAATGGCGGAAATCTGGGAATGCTCAGCCTCAGGAATCTGGGAATTCCCAATGGTGGAAATCCCGGAATTCCCAGTGGCGGAAATGTGGGAATTCCCGATGGTGGAAATCTGGGAATTCTCAGCTTCGGGAATCTGGGAATTCCCAAAGGCAGAAATCTGGGAATTCTCAGCCTGGAGAATCTGGGAATTCCCAATGGCAGAAATCTGGGAATGCTCAAGTCCAGAATTCCTGGAATTCTCAGCCTTGGGAATCTGGGAATTCCCAATGGTAGAAGTCCCGGAATTCCCAAGGGCAGAAATCCCGGAATTCCCAGTGGCGGAAATCTGGGAATGCTCAAGTCCGGAATTCCTGGAATTCTCAGCCTTGGGAATCTGGGAGTTCCCAAGCCCGGGAATCCGGGAATTGTCAGCCTGAGAAATTTGGGAATTGCCAATGGCACAAATCTGGGAATGCTCAAGTCCGGAAATCCCGGAATTCCCGATGGTGGAAATCTGGGAATTCCCAGTGGCAGAAATCTGGGAATGCCCAAGCCCGGAAATCCAGGAATTGTCAGCCTGAGAAATCTGGGAATTCCCGATGGTGGAAATCTGGGAATTCTCAGCCTCGGGAATCTGGGAATTCCCGATGGCAGAAGTCCCGGAATTCCCAGTGGCGGAAATCTGGGAATTCCCAATGGAAGAAGTCCCGGAATTCCCAGTGGCGGAAATTCGGGAATTCCCAATGGCAGAAATCTGGGAATGCTCAAGCCTGGAATTCCTGGAATTCTCAGCCTTGGGAATCTGGGAATTCCCAAGCCCGGAAATCCGGGAATTGTCAGCCTCAGAAATTTGGGAATTGCAAAGCCTGGAAATCTGGGAATTGCCGACCTTGGAAATCCGGGCATTGTCACCGACCCCAGAATCCTGGGAATTTTCCAGCCCAGAAATCTGGGAATTGCCAATGGCAGAAATTTGGGAGTTCTCAGTTTTGGAAATCTGGGAATTCTCAGCGATCCCTGAATTCTGGGAATTTCCAATCCCGGAAATCCGGGAATTCCCAAGCTTGGAATCCAGGGAATTGCTGAGCCCAGAAATTTGGGAATTCTTGTTATTGGAATTCTGGGAATTCCCAACTTTGGAAATCTGGGAACTCCCGATCCCGAAATTCTGAGAATTCCCACTCCTGGAATTCTGGGAATTCTCACCAATCCCGGAATTCCAAGTCCTTGAAATCTGGGAATTCTTCAGCTCAGCACTCCAGGGATTCTTGGAATTCTGGGAATTCCCAATCCCTGAACTCTGGGAATTCCCAACTTTGGAAATCTGGGAATTCCCGATCCCGAAATTCTGAGAATTCCCACTCCTGGAATTCTGGGAATTCTCACCAATCCCGGAATTCCAAGTCCTTGAAATCTGGGAATTCTTCAGCTCAGCACTCCAGGGATTCTTGGAATTCTGGGAATTCCCAATCCCTGAACTCTGGGAATTCCCAACTTTGGAAATCTGGGAATTCCCGATCCCGAAATTCTGAGAATTCCCACTCCTGGAATTCTGGGAATTCTCACCAATCCCGGAATTCCAAGTCCTTGAAATCTGGGAATTCTTCAGCTCAGCACTCCAGGGATTCTTGGAATTCTGGGAATTCCCAATCCCTGAACTCTGGGAATTCCCAACTTTGGAAATCTGGGAATTCCCGATCCCGAAATTCTGAGAATTCCCACTCCTGGAATTCTGGGAATTCTCACCAATCCCGGAATTCCAAGTCCTTGAAATCTGGGAATTCTTCAGCTCAGCACTCCAAATTCCCAATGGTGGAAATCTGGGAATTCTCAGCCTCGGGAATCTGGGAATTCCCGATGGCAGAAGTCCCGGAATTCCCAGTGGCGGAAATCTGGGAATTCCCGATGGAAGAAGTCCCGGAATTCCCAGTGGCGGAAATTCGGGAATTCCCAATGGCAGAAATCTGGGAATGCTCAAGCCTGGAATTCCTGGAATTCTCAGCCTTGGGAATCTGGGAATTCCCAAGCCCGGAAATCCGGGAATTGTCAGCCTCAGAAATTTGGGAATTGCAAAGCCTGGAAATCTGGGAATTGCCGACCTTGGAAATCCGGGAATTGTCACCGATCCCAGAATCCTGGGAATTTTCCAGCCCAGAAATCTGGGAATTGCCAATGGCAGAAATTTGGGAGTTCTCAGTTTTGGAAATCTGGGAATTCTCAGCGATCCCTGAATTCTGGGAATTTCCAATCCCGGAAATCCGGGAATTCCCAAGCTTGGAATCCAGGGAATTGCTGAGCCCAGAAATTTGGGAATTCTTGTTATTGGGAATCTGGGAATTCCCAACTTTGGAAATCTGGGAACTCCCGATCCCGAAATTCTGAGAATTCCCACTCCTGGAATTCTGGGAATTCTCACCAATCCCGGAATTCCAAGTCCTTGAAATCTGGGAATTCCCAACTTTGGAAATCTGGGAATTCCCGGCTTTGGAAATCTGGGAATTCCCTCTCCCGGAATTCCGTGATTTCCCAGAATTCCTGCCGCTCCTGCCCTTCCCCCTTCCTTTGGAGCTGCTGCGCTTCCCCCCCGGAGCCCCGGAATTCCGGAATTCCCGGGAATTCCCGGCGTTTTCCCCCAGCAGCTCCCGCAGCCGCCGGCGCTGCAGCGGATCCAGGTAATCCCTGCGCCCGTAGAAAACCCCCACGGACACGACGGGAATTCCCGCAATTCCCGGATTTCCCGACGCAATTCCCGGATTTCCCGACGCAATTCCCGGATTTCCTAACGGAATTCCTGGATTTCCTGCCGGATTTTGTGGATTTCCTGCTGGAATTCCCGCCGGAATTCCCAGATTTCCTGTCAGAATTCCCGAATTTCCCGCCGGAATTTGTGGATTTCCCGCCGGAATTCCTGAATTTCCCGACACAATTAGTGGATTTCCAGCCGGAATTCCCGGATTTCCTGCTGGAATTCCCGGATTTCCCGCTGGAATTTGTGGATTTCCCGCCGGAATTCCCGCCGGAATTCCCAGATTTCCTGTCAGAATTCCCGAATTTCCCGCCGGAATTTGTGAATTTTCCGCCAGAATTCCCGAATTTCCCGACGCAATTCGTGGATTTCCAGCCGGAATTCCCGGATTTCTCGACGAAATTCCCGGATTTCCTGATGCAATTCCCAGGTTTCCCACCGGAATTCCCAGATTTCCCGCTGGAATTTGTGGATTTCCTGCCAGAATTTGTGGATTTCCCGCCGGAATTCCTGAATTTCCCGACACAATTAGTGGATTTCCAGCCGGAATTCCCGGATTTCCTGCTGGAATTCCCGGATTTCCCGCCGGAATTTGTGGATTTCCCGCCGGAATTCCCGCCGGAATTCCCAGATTTCCTGTCAGAATTCCCGAATTTCCCGCCGGAATTTGTGAATTTTCCGCCAGAATTCCCGGATTTCCCGACGGAATTCCCAGATTTCCAGTTGGAATTTGTGGATTTCCCGACAGAATTCCCGAATTTCCCGACACAATTAGTGGATTTCCAGCCGGAATTCCCGGATTTCTCGACGGAATTCCCGGATTTCCTGATGCAATTCCCAGGTTTCCCACCGGAATTCCCAGATTTCCCGCTGGAATTTGTGGATTTCCTGCCAGAATTTGTGGATTTCCCGCCGGAATTCCTGGATTTCCCGCCGGAATTCCCGGATTTCCCGCCGGAATTCCCGGATTTCCCGCCAGAATTCCAGGATTTTCTGCCGGAATTCCCGGATTTCCCGCCGGAATTCGCAGCCTCCGGGCGGGCGCCGATTTCTCCGGGGGTTGCGGCTCGGGGCTGGCAGAATTTTGGGAATTTTGGGAATTCTGGGAATTCTGGGATGCCGCAGCTCCTCGGGGCCGTTTGCGCTGCGGGGTCCGGAATTCCCAACGGGAGCTGCCACAAAAAAAACCGGGAATGAGACGCGGGAACCGGGAATTCCGGGAATTCCACCCCTCGTAATTTGGGAATTTGGGGGAATTTTTGGGGTTTGGGATTTTGGGGAATTGGGAAATTTTGGGGAATTATGGGGATTTTTGGGAATTTTGGAGACTTTGGGGTTTTTGGGATTTGGGGAATTTTGGGGGATTTTTTGGGGGATTTTCTTGCAATTTTTGGGGTTTGGGATTTCGGGGAATTTTGGGATTTTTGGGAATTTTCAGGCTTTTGGGGATTTTTTGGGACTTTTTCTATTTAGGGCTTTTTGGGAATTTTGGGGGGATTTTTTGCAATTTTGGGAATTTAGGAATTTTTGGGCGTTTTGGGATTTTTTTTTGGGATTTGGGAATTTTCACAATTTTGGGGACTTTTTTGGGGATTTTTGTATTTTGGGGTTTTTAGATATTTTGGGAATCTTGGACATTTTTGGGGTTTTTTGGGATTCTTGAGGATTTCTTTTTATTTTGGAAATTTGGGGATTCCTTGTGTTTTTTTGGGGTTTTTTTAAGATTTTGGGATTTTTGACAAACTGTGGGATTTTGGAGAATTTTGGCAATTTTGGAGGGATTTCGGGGATTTTTTGGGTTTGGGGATTTTGGGGAATTTTGTGCATTTGGGGGTTTTTTTGGATTCTTTGGAATTTTGAGATATTTCAGGGATTTTTTTGGGTTTTTTTTTTGGGGAATTTTGGAGAAAATTTTGGGGGAATTTTTGGAATTTATTGAGGATTTTTGGGGTTTGGGGATTTGGGATGTTTGGGGGATTTTTGTGGAATTTTGGGGTTTAGAGATATTTGGGGAATTTTGCAGGATTTTGGGGGATTTTTTTTATTTTATTTTTAGGAATTTTGGGTGATTTTTGGAGGTTTTTTGGCATTTTGGGGGGTTTTGGGATTTACGGGGAATTCCCGGTGTTTTTGGGAGTTTTTGGACTTTGGGGATTTTTTGAGGTGATACTTTTGGGAATTTTGGGGGGATTTTTGGGGGTTTTGGGGTCTCACCTGTCGGGCTCCCGGCTCCGTTTCCGGGGCGTTCCGGGGCTGCTGCAAATCCAGGAGGTCAGAGCTTGGCAGGGAAAACCCCAAATCCCCCCAAACCCCAAATTCCCAAAAATCCCAAAACCCACAAAACAACCAAACCCCAAAAAAACCAAAAACCCCAAACCCAGGGACCACAAATCCCCAAATCCCCAGCTGGGGTTTTCCGGCTCCCCTCAGAGCCCCAAATCCCAAGGCGGAGCCCTCGGAGCTCCTTGGAGTTCCCTCGGAGCTCCACCAGAGCCCTCTTGGAGCTCCTGAGAGCCCTCTTGGAGCTCCACCAGAGCCCCAGATCCCGGCCCGGAGCCCCACAGAGCTCCCTCAAAGCTCATCAGAGCCCCAAATGCTGGCCTGGAGACCTCAGAGCCCCTCGGAGCTCCCTCTGGTCCCGCAAAGCCCACTCAGAGCCCCTCGGAGCTCCGTCAGAGCCCCTTGCAGCTCCCTCAGTTCCCGCAAAGCCTCCTCGGAGCTCCCTCAGTTCCCGCAAAGCCCCCTCAGAGCCCCTCGGAGCTCCGTCAGTTCCCACAAAGCCTCCTCGGAGCTCCCTCAGAGCTCTCCCAGACCTCCCTCAGAGCTCTCTCTGAGCCCCTCTGATCCTCCTCAGAGCTGCCTCGGAGCTCTCCCAGACCTCGCTCAGATTCCCTTGGAGCTCTCCCTGAGCCCCTCTGATCCTCCTCAGAGCTCCCTCAGTTCCCGCAAAGCCCCCGGTCTCTGGGCCCCTCTGATCCTCCTCAGAGCTCCCTCAGATCACCTCAGAGCTGCCCCGGAGTTCCCTCAGAGCCCCCGCAGCTCTCCATTAGAAGTCTCTGAGTGCTCCCTCACAGCTCCCTCAGAGCTCCACCAGAGCCCCTCGGAGCTCGCTCTAACGTCCCTCAGAGCTCTCTCTGAACCTCCTCAGAGCCCCCTCAGAGCCCCCGCAGCTCTCCATTAGAAGTCTCTGAGTGCTCCCTCACAGCTCCCTCAGAGCTCCACCAGAGCCCCTCGGAGCTCGCTCTAAGGTCCCTCGGAGCTCTCTCTGATCCTCCTCACAGAGCCCCCTCAGAGTTCCCGCAAAGCCCCCTCGGAGCCCCCTCAGAGCCCAGTCAGAGCCCCTCAGAGCTGCCCCGGAGCTCCCTCAGAGCCCCCGCAGCTCTGCATTAGAAGCCTCTGAGCGCTCCCTCAGAGCCCCTCGGAGCCCCCTCAGAGCCCCTCGGAGCCCCCTCAGAATCCCTCGGATCTCCCTCAGTTCCCGCAAAGCCCCCTCGGAGTCCCCTCAGACCTGCCTCGGAGCTCGCCCAGACCTCGCTAAGAGTCCCTCGGAGCTCTCCCTGAGCCCCCTCTGATCCTCCTCAGAGCCCCCTCAGAGCTCCATCCCCCTCGGAGCCCCTCTGATCCTCCTCAAAGCCCCCAGCAGAGCTCCGAGGAGGTCCCTGGGAGCGCCCCTCGGAGCCTCCTCAGAGTTCCCGCAAAGCCTTCTCGGAGTTCCCTCAGAGCCCCCATCAGAGCTCCCTCAGAGCCTCCTCACGGCTCCCTCGGAGCCCCTCAGAGCTCCCCCCTCAGAGCTCCTCCGCAGCCTCCTCAGAGCTCCCTCACAGAGACCCCTTGGAGGTCCCTCAGAGCTCCCCCCTCAGAGCTCCTTCACAGCCCCCTCGGAGCCCCCGCGGAGCCGCTTCCCCACCTCAGCGCCTCCTCCGCCATGGCTGCTTCCCGCCTTCAGCCGCGCGCCTTCGAACCGCCCGCCCTGCGCTCCCATTGGCTGAGCGCCGCGTCAATCAGCGCTGCTCCCTCGCCATTGGTTGCGCAGCGGGCGGCTCCGGATTGTACCCGCCCCCGCCGCTTCGCAGCCAATCGGAGAGCGCGGCTCTCCGCGCGGGCCCTCCACTAGACTACAACTCCCAGCGTGCCCTGCGAGAACACAGCGAAGCATCCGCTCTGTGGGGCGCGCGGGGGCCGATGGGAGTTGTAGTCGCGCTGCCTCGCGGCCGGGGCGCGGGAGATTCTGAGGGAAGGGGGCGGGGTTGGGAGTTAATGGGCGGGTAATGAGGCGCTAATTAAAGATTTTTGTGTTAATTAGGGCACCGGCGAGCTGCTGTGGACAGGGGTCCCGTCCACTGTCCCAAGCCCCAATGGCCAGTCTGGAAAAGAGGAATGAAAACGGGGAAAAGGTGGCTCTTGGGTGGATCTTTGACATTTTATCCACCAAAAACCCAAATAAATTCTCCTTGATTGCTCTGAAACGGCCCAGCTGGGGGGGTTTGGTTCCCTGCTGGTGATCGAGCCCTGGGCTGGGATGTTTCGGGGATAAAAAGAGGAAAAAAAAGGGGGAAGAGTGGAAAAGGGTGAAAAAAGGGAAAGGAAAAAAGGAAAGAGATGAGAAAGGAAAGAGAAAAGGGGGAAGGGGAGGAGCAAAAAAAGGAGAAAGGGAAAAAAGAGAAGCTGGAAAACAGAGGAAAGGGGGAGAGGAAAAGGAAAGGGAAAAAGGGGAGGCAGTGAAGGAAAGAGGAGAGAAACCAAGGCGAGGAAAAAAAAGGAAAGGGAAGGAAAAACCAGGAAAAGACACATCCGCCGGCACTGCGCATGCGCAGCTCTTTGCCGTGCGCCTTCACGGCCGATATGCGCACGCGCAATGAGATTTTCCGTACGATATCATGGCCGCCCTCACTACGCAGTTGTATTTTCCGTACGCTGTCATGGCTGCTCTGAGCATGCGCGGCGTCACGGCCACTCCGCGCACGCGCAGTGACATTTCCGTACATTGTCATGGCCGCCCGCACACGCGCAGCTCACTCTACACCTGCGCCATACCTGCTCTGCGCATGCGCATTCTCCCCACGCAGCCCTGACGTCATTACGCACGACCTCTTCCCGGCCGGGCCTTCCCTGAGGAGGAAGCGACGGAGCCCCGGGAAAAAAACCGGGAGAAAAACCGGGAAAAACGGGATAAAACCGGGATAAGCGGGAGCGCCGGGAGCAGCGCCGCGCCCGCGCCGCCGCAGCCATGGTGTTCTACTTCACCTCCAACGGTGAGAGAGCCCGGGCGGGCCCTGAGGGGAATCCCGGCAGTTCCCGCCAAAATCGCCTTTTCCCGCCAATTCCCGCTTCCTTTCCCGCCCTTTGGCCGGATTCCCGCCATTTCCCGCATCCCCTCAGGGCTCCCCGCAATTCCCGGGGCTTTTCCCGCCGGTTCCGGAATTCCCGCGGGAAAACAAATCCCGGGAATGTTCCCGCCTGCTTGGAATTCCCGCCAAAAACAAACATTCCTTTCCCGCCCTTTGGCCGGATTCCCGCCATTTCCCGCATCCCCTCAGGGCTCCCCGCAATTCCCGGGGCTTTTCCCGCCAAAAAAAACCGGGAATGGCTCCTCAAAAATCCGGGAATTCTCCGGGAATTTGCCGAGGTTTTCCCGGATTTTTCCGGGATTTTTCCAGGATTTCCCCGCATTTTTTTCAGGATTTTTCCCAGATTTTTGCCCACATTTTTCCCTCGTTTTTCCTGCATTTCCCCGGGATTTTTCAGGATTTTTCCCTGCATTTTCCAGGTTTTTTCCTGGATTCCTCCAAGGTCTTTCCCAGAATTTTCCAGAATTTTTTTTCAATAATTTTCCAGGATTTTTCCTGGAATTTTCCCGGATTTTTCCCACATTTCCTCTCCCAATCCGGGTTTATTTTCCATTCCCGCTTTCCCATCGAGATTTTTCGGGATGTTGGGAATTTCACCTCGCAAATATCCCAAAATAAAGGCGGGAATGGAGAGAAATCTGGGAATTTTGGGAGAAATTTGAGGAATTTTGGAAGAAATTTGGGAATTTTGGGAGAAAATTGGGAGAAATTTGGGGAATTTTTAAAGAAATTTGGGAATTTTTTGGAGAAAATTGGGAATTTTCAGAGAATTTTTGGGAGAAATTTGGGAATTTTGTGAGAAAATTGGGAATTTTGGGAGGAATTTGGGAAATTTTTTGGAGAAATTTGGGGAATTTTTGGAAGAAATTTGGGAGAAATTTAGGGAATTTTTGAAGAAATTTGGGAATTTTTTGGAGAAAATTGGGAAGTTTGGGAGGAATTTGGGAATTTTCCGACCCCATGGGAATTCCCGCATTTGAGAACTCCCAAATTTCCCCAGGAAAACAAAATTTCTCCTCTAAAAAAACCTCGGAAAACGAAATTCCCTCGATGGCCCAGGAGGGAAAAGGGGAAAACTCCAGGAATTTCTCAGCAATTCCCAGAATTTTGGGTTTTTTCCTGGATTTCCATGGATCCATTCCTGTTTTTCCCGTTTTCCCCGGATCTTTTCCCGTTTTTTTCCTGGATTTCTATGGATTAATTCCCATTTTTTCCCATTTTCCATGGATCCATTCCCATTTTTCCCGGCTCCATTCCCGTTTTTCTCAGATCCATTGCCGTTTTTTCCCATTTTTCCCGGATCCATTCCCGGTTTTCCTGGATTTTCTTGGATCCATTCCCGTTTTTTCCCATTTTTCCCGGATCCATCCCCGTTTTTCCTGGTTCCGTTCCCATTTTTCATGGATTTTCACAGATCCATTCCTGATTTCCATGGATCCATTCCCATTTTCCCCGGATCCATTCCCATTTTTCATGGCTCCTTTCCCATTTTTTCCCATTTTCCACACATACTTTCCCATTTTTTCCTGGATTTCCCCGGATCCATTCCCATTTTTCTCAGATCCTTTCCCGTTTTCCCTGGATTTTCACAGATCCATTCCCATTTTTTCCCATTTTTCCCAGATCCTTTCCCATTTTTCAGGGATCCATTCCCATTTTTTCCCCGTTTTCCATGGATCCATTCCCATTTTCCCCGGATCCATTCCCGTTTTTCCTGGATTTCCATGGATCCATTCCTGGTTCTCTCAGATCCATTCCCATTTTTCCCGGCTCCATTCCCATTTTCCCTGGATTTTCACAGATCCATTCCCATTTTTCTCGGCTCCATTCTCATTTTTTCCCGTTTTCCCTGATCCATTCCCATTTTCCATGGATCCTTTCCCGTTTTTTCCCATTTTCCCCAGATCCATTCCCATTTTTCCTGGATTTTCACAGATCCATTCCCGTTTTTCCCCATTTTCCCCGGATCCTTTCCCATTTTTCCCGGCTCCATTCCCGTTTTTTCCCATTTTCCATGGATCCACTCCCGTTTTCCCTGGATCCATTCCCGTTTTCCCCGGCCCCATTCCCGTTTTCCCCGGCCCCATTCCCGTTTTTCCCATTTTCCATGGATCCATTCCCGTTTTCCCGCCCCCGTTCCCGTGTTTCCCGTGTTTCCGTTTCTCACGGCTCTGTCCCGTGTCCCGCAGCCGCCGCCGCCGTGTACACCATCTACATGGGCAAGGACAAGTACGAGAGTGAGTCCGGAATTCGGGAATTTTCGGGAATTCCAGGAACTCTTTGGGCCATTTCTGGGATTTTTCGGGAATTTTGGGGCTTTTTTTTTTTCAATTTCGGTGATTTTTTTGGGGAATTCTGGGGGTTTTTTGAGGAATTTTGGGAATTATTTTGGGTTTTCTGAGGAGTTTCAGTGATTTATTTGGGAATTTTGGGGAATTTTTTGGGAATTCTGTGGATGTTTGGGATTTATTTGGGAATTTTGAGGATTTTTTTGGGACTATTTTCAGAATTCCCCAGGTATTGTGAGAGAATTTTTGGGAATTTTTTTTGGGAGTTCTGGGAATTTTGGGGGAAATTTTGGGATTTTTTAGGAATTTTTGTGATTTTTTTTTTTGTTATTTTGAGGATTGGTTTTGATGATTTTGGGGATTTCAGGGATTGTTTTGGGAATTGTTCTGGAAACTTTTGGAATTTTGAGGAGGGAATTTTAGGAATTATTTTGGGGGGATTTTTTTTTTTTTTTTGGAATTTCAGGAATTTGATTTTTTAATTCCAGGATTATTTTGGGAATTTCTGGGATTATTTTGAGAATTTTTGGGGATTTTATTTTTTTGGAATTTCTTGGCTGGATTTTGGGGTGGAAATTTCGGGATTTGAGGCAAGAATTTTGGGATCTGGGGTGGGATTTAGGGGCTGGAATTCTGGGATTTTAGGGCTGGATTAGGGATGGGAATCTCAAGATTTTGGGGCTCGATTCTGGGATTTGGGATGGGAATTTTGGGATTTGGAGCAGGAATCTGGGATTTGAGGCTGGAATTCGAGGCAGAAATTTGGGATTTGGGGCAGGATTTTGGGTGGGAATTCTGGGATTTGGGGCAAGATTTTGGGTGGGAATTCTGGTGTTTCAGGGGTGGATTTGGGGCGGGAATTTTGGGATTTGGGAATCCCCCCGATCCCATCGGATCCCCCGATCCCATCTGTTCCTTGGATCCCGTTTGTTCCCCTGGATCCCAATGGATTTCCCCTGATCCCATTTCTTCCCTGGATCCTTTTTGTCCCCTTGATCCCATTTGTCCCCAGATCCCATTGGATTCCCATGATCCCATTTGTCCCCTGGATCCCGTTTGGATCCCATTTGTTCCCCAGATCCTGATGGATTTCCCTGGATCCTGTTCATTTCCCTGGATCCCACTTGGATCCCGTTTGTCCCCTGGATCCCATTTGTCCCCTGGATCCCGTTTGTTCCCCTGGATCCCAATGGATTTCCCCTGATCCCATTTCTTCTTTGGATCCTTTTTGTCCCCTGGATCCCGTTTGTTCCCCTGGATCCTGTTTGGATCCCCTTTCTCCCCTGATTCCCAGTGG